TTTTTTTTCAAACAGCTGGTCCGTACTCTGGCCTCGGAGAGATCGTCCACAGAGAGAGCGTTCCCATGCACACCTTCGCCCGTTATCTCTTCACCTCTCTCCTACCTCATGACGCTGAACTGGCGTACAAAATTGCACTGAGAGCCATGCGGTAAGGTCCCTACGTGATTGTGTGTTACTGTAATCATGTGAATGGCGAACATCAAATTTGATTGATTTTGATTCAAAGAATTAAATGCTGACCTTTTGGATTCAGAAAATTATCCAAAGTTTGGGCTAATGGAGCCTTTTAAAACTGCTAACATCCTGAAACTGGAGGATTACGTTTAGATTTGTCCAGATTCCAGGTCGTAAAAATGTTTGATATTGTGACACCTCCGACTAAATCAGATCATGATCTCTCTGCATGATTCTCAGATTTTTCCTTTCTTTTAGTGTAAAGCTTGTTGTCCCTTTTAACGGTATGTTAACAGAGTCTCTTTGTCTCCTAAAACTCTGCTCCTGAAATGACCCTTTGTCCATTCCTGGGGCTTTTTTCTATTAAGCTTCAATACCACCATGCAACATCCTCACCTCCCTACAGTTTTTACGGTTACAGAAATAGATTACAAAATTATAATGTTACATATACAATATAAGAGAGCCACACAATAAAAGCTAACTTCTGTGTAATGTCCTGCTCCAGTCTTGCAAATGTTTCAGATCTATTGACTGGTTTATCCCGATCTCGGAGCCCATCAGCTACTGCCTTCTGTCGGTCGAACACTTGTTTCTTTTATGACACAAGTCGAACATTTCTCAAGTCTGACTTGAATTTATACTGACAGCAGCATCATTGTTACCATGGCCACTACAGTATAAACAGCTGATCGGGATGCCTCTGCGTAAGGCACATTTGTGACACGCTCAAAGTGGTTTGACCAACCACAAAAGTGGGAGCCCTATGACCAATCACAACAAGACAACATTTTAGGGAACTAGGCGAAGAACTAAAATGGAACATTTCAGGCACAAGGTATTTACAAATGATGAATATTTTTAACATTACGGCATGTAAACCTAATTCAGTAGACCCCCCCTCCCCCCAAATTGAAGTCATGAATCTTTAAATGACCACAATATGGGCACTTTAAGCTCCTGTGTGTATTCATCTGTGGACAATGTGTACATGTGTGTTTAACAGTCTGCGCTGCTGTGTTTTGATGTTGTGACTAGTGGGAGCTGAATCAGTGAATATTAATTACATTAATGAGAGTGTAATTAGTGTGGCTGTAATGAGGAGAGGCGCGCGCACACAGGCACACGTGCAGGGCCATCAGGGAGAGGGCAGTGTGGGAAGGATGTTTGTTGTGTTTCTATAAAGCGAGGCCTCTCTGAGTCCATCGCTGTAAAACTGGTAAATGATTAGCAAATGAATGAGAGGGGAGGTTTTTTTTTCCTGCAGAGACAAGCAGGGAACAAAAGAATAACAAACACATCATTCACACTTTCCCACAGTTCACCAGTTAGGAGGAATCAGGAAGTAAAACAAAACCAAAACAACACAGTTGGGTTTCTCGCTTGAGAGTGGTGTGGTTTCAAGGTCGCTCATCCAGCCGCCGTGTGTCCAAACTCGCGTCCCAAACCTGCTCTTCCCAGAGCCAACCGCTCCCCGCCATCCCTCGCTACTTCCCTTCACCTTCCCATTTCCTCCCCTCACCTCCTCTATCCTCACTCTTGTGGTGTGAAACCAGCGATTTAGAATAATATGGCCACTTATGGGTGCTCCTGGGAGCCAGGGGTGTCTACTCAGCACATAATGAATGTGTGTAATGTAGCGTAGTGTAATATGATAGCATATACCTCCCCGCTCCCAAGGGACGGCGGACAGTTAAATATAGAGGAGGAGGTAAAGGAACCAGGGCTATTTTAATGGACCTATTATAACACTATCATTGATACAAGAAGAGAGAGAAAGTCTAGCTCGTGCTCTCATTTACACACACATACTCTTTCACTTCCCGTCTGCTCTCTCTATTTGTCTTCTCATTTTTTAATGAGTGGAAGTCAGCCTGCCTTCGTGCGCAAAATGCATATCCAGTAGTGTTTTTTAAGTGTGTGTATGTGGGTGTTTATGCACCATGGATGAGGTTAATTCAAGTGTGTGAGAGCAGCATGTGCCGTGCGAAGGCTTGTTGTGAGCAATCAACACAAATAACACAGGAGCTGCCCACTGGTTCAGGAGCTGCCCAGAATTCGACTGCAGCCTCAGAAGAAGGAGAAGAAGAAGACTGTTATCATCTGAGATTTGAATCTTCCAATGCTAATGAATCTGGATTCTCGCTATAATCCACAGCTGTTGATCATGTGCATAAGCCATAATCTTTGAATATATACAGCTCAGATTATCATAGCTGCAGTCAGAGGCTGTTCTAAGACAGTGATCTGTCACTGACACTCGCAGGTAGCCGACATCATTTTCTCTTTAAGTCAGGACACACTGTGTAGTGGATACTCGCTAAACATTCTATCAATATAGTTTGATCATGCAAATCTTATTATGAAAAATCAAGATTTTCAAATTAAGATGCTGGATATCGACTGTTAGGAAACTATTCAGATTATTTACTCTAAAGTAGCAACATCACACTATGAATATATACTCAAATGGCTGCAATTTGCGTGTGTTATTTGTTTGTGTTCTGATTATATTGAAAAATTACAATTTTACCTCTGAGTTGGAGAAAATTCCTACAAACCTCAGTCTCATTAGCAGCGTTTAAACCACAGGAACTTTGCCCAGGAACCTTTACAGGGACTCAATGTGTTTCAACCACAGAAACCAGAGTCTAAATTTATTTCCAGGCCAATTTGTCTAATTTTCTCTGGGATTGAGATCGCAGTAGAAACACAGGTGACCAACCGTCTGCAGGAACCGTTGAAAAAGTTCCAGGTTCTTTTGGTCGAAATGCAGTTTTAGATCCCCGAGAAGTTTCTATTTTGGATGTTTAGATTTTCACTTGACTGATGACTTCCCTGCTGTGTGGAGAACAATGCGTCATGTCAGTTCAAGAATCCTTGGCACTCGAGAGCAGTGAACTGACATTTTTGGGGGTTACCCTCATAAGTTGTGTGCAGAATGATTTGACCTCCCTCCTGTCAGACATCGGGAGGGTTTCCACCTTTGAGTTTGTGTATAGAGTGGAGGTCTTCCAGCGGATGTGTCGCTTAGCTGACAGACGTGTGCTTAATGGATTATGAAAAGTGAAGGGTGTTTATAGTCAGAGGGGAAAGAAGCACGAGGCAGAGAGGTCAGTCGTCATGGTGATGCTGACCAGAAATCCAAAGGGCCATGGAGTTTAGGTAAAAACATGGAGGGGCTGCTTTTCATCAACATCTCACTCCTTCTTCTTCTCCTCTTTCACCTGTCACACATTTTCTTCTTCCTCTATACCTCTTTTACACCAAAAGTAGTGGGTATACGCACACATTCTTTTAATTGTGGGTAAACCTGCTAAAATTGGCAATTGGATTCATTTCCATTGCTAGTGGAAGAGTCTTTTCCCTGGTGCGTCATGTTCAACGTCAGGAACATGCTAGAAACTGAGGCGCTCTCTAAACTCAGCTGACGTCCTCTGACCCGCTGCAGTTTCACTCTGAATCAAACATATTTTTCCTCTTTGTTTGTGACCAAGGCCATAATGTCAACACTGATCACCTCATAATGATCTACACTTTCCTTTAATGTGTAAATCTTTCTTCAAAGCGCAGCTGAATGAGATTTACTCTCCTGAATCGTCTCTCTCCCTTTTGCTTGCTCATGCTGACTCACACACACACACACACACACACACACACACACACAGTGACATCAGGCACACTTGTACTCAGACATGGTCTTCATGAACAAAAATGACATACATGTTTGTTAGTGTAGAGTGGGGAGGTGAGATCTGATCTGAGATCCGATCACAAGACGTATGTGGGACCGCATTTTAATACCAGGTGTGAACGCACACACTCTGTCCACTTGTGATCAGATCAACAAAAATCACACGTTCAGGGGACGTTGGTGGGTTTTTAGACCAGTGGAAAAGGGGCTTAATGTATCCGGATGAAATTCAAGCCATCTGACCCAAAAACAACTCATTAGTTACCATTAGTAAGGACGTTATGTTTTCAATTTGTTTGTCTGTTAGTCAGCAGGATAATGCAAAAGTTACTGGACTGACTCCCATGAAACTGGGTTAGAGGATGTGGTATGGCTCAGGAAATAACCTATTAAATCTTGGTATGAATCTGGATGTTTCTTTAACATTGTGGGGTTTTTTTTGATTTCCCGGAAAAGAATTCATGGATCTTGATGAAAAAAAATCAAGTATGTTTAGGGGGCGGATATTTATGAGTCTGTGCAAGATGCAAATACAAATCTTGATCTAATGAATTAAAATGTGGTTTCATAAGGGCACTGATGAGCCTTGGAGGAGATATGCGCTCTGAGGTGTTCACCACATGGCGTCTGTCGTCCATGCTCCCTCCACACAGTTGTCCTTGAGTATCTCTGGTGCGATGAGTGCGACCGTGTTCCTTTCAGATGTGACAGGGTGCTACACTGCCACAGGACCCGTTTGACACCCGAGCTGCTCCCCCCTCCTCACACTGCCTCGCTCTGCGGGGTTTGATTGCCTCTTTTCAGCTCACTCTGTTAGTGTTTTATATATCATCCATGATGCACATTTCTATCCAGCCGTGGCAGCGCCGTGAAGAAATATGACTTTAATTTTATGTGTTAAGCACACTTGACACTGAATTGAGAGTTTGTATAGTGTTATTTGGCAGAGAAGATGATCATGTTTATGGACAGCGTGCACCGTTTAGCTGTAGTTTACAAGGTGCTCGATGAGAATGCACCCGTGGTGGGGAATACGCTCTACTTGTGCTTGGACTGAAACTCTCAGAGAAGTCCACGAGGCTCTTTTTTTCTCTCTCATCATTTATGTTTTTTGTGTCTCACTGAACAATAGCCCAGTATGGATTTTCCTCCCAACATTTTGAGGAGGTTATTTTTCAGCAGGCCAGGCCTCTCAAGCTCCCATCCAATGGAGGCCTCTGGCTCTCTGGTGAAAACCAAACAAAGACTGGAATGTTGATGAGGCTTCCATCTTTACCCAGGGCCTTTTTTTTTGCTTTGCTACACCCCAGGAATCTTCCAGAAGGCCCCAGTGTTGTTGAAGTTTTTAGCAGCTCCATTAGATGTGTGCTGCTGTTGCCAGGGCTTCCAAACGTCTCAATTTTACACTGAGTGTGAGTTTTCACACTCGCGCACATCTCAACCGGTTTTTGTCGCCACATCTCTCACAGAGACTCGTCCTCTTGGGCAAAAAAGCGAGCGGAGAAGAGGAGGCTGTTTTTGTGCATGCCTTCACTCAGGTGGCAACAGTATCACATGCACTTTGCTCTGAAATTGAAACTGGCATTTAGCATCACATTGCTTTTACTGGGCAGCTTTGATGTGTTTTCAAAAGGGCAGGTGTGCGTGTGTTTGTGTGTGTGTGTGTGTGTGTGTCTCTTGAGCGTGTGTGTGTGAGCTCACTGCCTCCCTTCAGTCATGCGTGTTGGTATTTGTTTGATGTGTGTCCAGCCTTACGGGCTGGAAGGTGAATTCCCTAATTTCCCCGTGGACTCAATTAGCTTTGTGATTGGCTGAGAGAAGGCCAGGTTGTGCTGTCTTCTGAAGGAAAGGAGACCTTTGAAACTGAGGTGGTAGCGCAGGGAAGAGAAGTGAAGCAGAATAGGAGATGAGCCGGCCACAGTGGTAATGGTGGTGGTGCTCGTGGTGCCGGCGAAGACTCGGCCCTGTCAGTGTTATTATAATGAGAGAGAGAAACTAGTGAAGCTCCTTCATCCTCTAGCAGGTGTTGCACAGCTCTGACTTCATTATGACCAATTAGAGTGAAGAAAATACTAATTATACCTTGGTTTCTAGGTGATTAAATACTAGGTTGCAAGTAAATTGCAGGGATAGGCTAACTGTAATCCCCCTGTGATCACTGAAGTCATTTTCATTTTGAAGTCACTTTCAGACCGACCATCATAATGAAGACTTTCTGTCTGTACAGTAATTCTGTCTGTCTGCTTGTTACTGTGAGAAGAAAGAAAATGATCTCACTGTGATGTTGCTGATTTGTGTCTCTCTGATTTTCATTTCAGTGCCACTCGTTTTTCATATTCTGGTATTATCTCAGCCCAAGGAGGTTGTGTTTTCACCCCGGTCGCTTTGTTGGTTTGTTGGTTTGCAACATCATGGATTTTCACAAAACTTAGTGGAAAGATGCCGTATGGGTCAGGGATTAAATTTTGATGCGGAATCAGGGGGCGGTTTTCTTAATAATTCATGGGTATTGATGAAAAAATCAGGCATATTTAAGGGGACTGATGTCTATGAGTCTGTGAAATGTGGTGTGTCATGACTGAATTGAAGCTGTTGGGTCTTTGCGGAGGTATGCGCTCTACTGAGTGCTAGTTCTAGTTTGATTGTTTGCAGGAATACACAAAAGTGCCATTCTAGACACACACACACACACACACACATTCTAGTTGTTTTATTTGTAAAAGGGCAACTCTTATTTTATGTATTCAATTGATTGTTTTTTGTTTAATTCATTTTCTCCATTTCTGTGTCCTTAAGGTTGCCGGTGTTGGAGTCGACGGCCTCGTCAGGTGACCTGTCTCGACCCCACCACATCGTTTCAGTGGTGCCCAACCGTTACCCGCGCTGGTTCACCCTGAGCCACATAGAGTCTCAGCAGTGTGAGCTGGCCTCGACCATGCTCACTGCGGCCAAAGGTACAGATATAAACCAACGTACTAACGCTAACTCTCAGATAGCATTAGCAACACACACATAACACCTATCATTCAGATCATTAACCTGTGGGTGGTTTGCGATGTGGAGGATGATTGGTTTACATACAAACAAGTGCATACAATTAATTTGTGGTTTTTGTGTCTTCTAGGTGACAGTCGGAGGCTGGAGACGGTCCTGGAGTCCATCCAGAAAAACATTCACTCCTCGTCTCACATCTTCAAACTGGCACAGGACGCGTTCAAGATCGCCACTCTGATGGACAGCCTGCCTGACATCACACTTCTCAAAGTCTCTCTGGAGTTAGGACTGCAGGTACACAGACATCCAGTGTTTGTCGTGTTTTTATTTCATATTTTCATAGTCCGAAAAGACAAAACCAAAACCAAACAAATTTACACAACATCACTTTGTTAAAAGTGTCTGCTCAATACTGTGTCCCACTTTGTCTCTTTGGAAACAACTGTAAAACTTCTTTGAATTCCTGAAATTAGCTCACAGCTCTTGAGGATGAAATCTCCTGTGCAGGCCACGGTGGTTCAGTCATGTATAAATCCCTTGCGTGCACTCTGGTGTTCTTGAATCCTAATTTGGAAAAAACTTGTGATGTAGTTATCGTCTTGGAATTTGGGAACACCAGTGTTTGCACTGCAGGGTGCACAGGGTGCTCCTTATTACATGGCCATTTACTGCCATGCAGAGCAACCACCGGACCTCATGACTCCTGTGATGTCTACCCTGCCAACACAGATCAAACTCCTTTTGGAATCTGAAAATCTGAACATGTCTGGATGTTGGAAAAGGGTTGAAGATTTGATCTGTCGATTCAGCCCCTCCACCACTCCATCATCCACCTGCAGGCTCCGACTGGGAGGTTTAAAGACATTTGCTCATCACTCCCCATTATATAAGTTTATTTACTTGGGGGAAGTGATGAAGTCAGAGCCTAAACTATGATGTGCTGCTGCAATAAACATTTCAAACTTGAGTCGTCTGACTAAAGTGATGATCTATCTTCACTGCTGGCACTTCATTGTTTTTTTTCTGTGACACGGGCAAAACATTTTAATGCAAAAATGTTCTTGTATACATTGTGGATTTTGATTTGACACAGATGCAGTAAAAATGTTGTTATATGTGGTTATTAAACAGTTGACTTCTTCTGTGCAGCCTGTACTGTGATGGTAAACTAAACTGATCTTGGACAAAGTGCATTTAAAATGTAATGCTATGTCTTCTTCAACTCACATGTCGTTCGCTCTGCTCCTCATCCCCTCGTCCTCAGGTGATGAGAATAACTCTGTCCACGTTAAACTGGAGGAGGAGAGAGATGGTGCGCTGGTTAGTCACATGTGCCACAGAAGTTGGTGAGTCACCTCGGCTGGTCCCCCTTTTTTTTTTTTTTATTCTTCGCTTTTTCTGTTCATTTCTGATCACTCTGTCCTGTTTGTGTCCTTCAGGTGTGTACGCGCTGGACAGCATCATGCAGAGCTGGTTCACCCTCTTCACCCCCACAGAGGCCACCAGTATCGTGGCCACCACCGTCATGTCCAACAGCACTATCGTCCGCCTCCACCTGGACTGCCACCAGCAGGAGAACCTGGCCTCATCCGCCCGCACACTCGCCCTCCAGTGTGCAATGAAGGACCCTCAGAACTGCGCCCTCTCTGCTCTGACACTCTGTGAAAAGGACCACATTGCCTTCGAGACAGCTTACCAGATTGTACTGGATGCGGCATCGACAGGGATGAGCTATACACAGCTGTTCACTATAGCACGCTACATGGAACATCGCGGTTACCCAATGAGGGCGTATAAGCTGGCGACATTAGCCATGGCTCATCTGAACCTCAGTTACAACCAGGACACACACCCGGCCATCAACGACGTGCTGTGGGCCTGTGCCCTCAGCCACTCGTTGGGAAAAAACGAGCTGGCCGCCGTCATCCCCCTGGTGGTCAAGAGTGTGAAGTGCGCCACCGTGCTCTCGGACATTTTGCGGCGGTGCACGCTGACCACGCCGGGGATGGTATCTGCACTGCACAGCCGCAGGAACTCTGGGAAACTGATGTCGCTGGACAAGGCGCCGCTCAGGCAGCTGCTGGATGCAACCATCGGGGCCTACATCAACACCACGCACTCACGCCTCACACACATCAGCCCGCGCCACTACAGCGAGTTCATCGAGTTCCTGGGGAAAGCCCGGGAGACTTTCATGATGGCTCACGACGGACACATTCAGTTCACGCAGTTCATAGACAACCTGAAACAGATCTACAAGGGCAAAAAGAAACTAATGATGCTGGTGAGGGAGAGGTTTGGCTGAGGGTGTGGCCGGGGGTCACCGGATGCTCCCCCCTCCTCACTCTAGTACTTTTCTATTAACTTGAGTCTGCCTTTTGAACTTCTTTTGGACTTATTAAATAGACAAGTAAAAAAGAGGGATGTGACTTGTAGAATGAAGCAAAAAGAGAAAGGAAAAGATGACAAAAAATCAACAGAGCCACACGCGGTATTATTGTTCTTGCTGTTGTTATTGTTATAAACATTATTACTATTATTATTATTAATAATATTATTACTACTACGTGTACAGAAGTGTTTTTATTTTTCAGAAGAGAGGAAATTTGTCACGTTGTGAATGTTGTGCGTATTTCTCTACATGTGTGCGAGAGGAAAATGAAAAGTGAAATGGCTTTTTGTTATTTTTATGATTTAAAACATCCTCTTTTTCCCCCCTTTTTGTTTTAGAGTATATTGAGTAATATGTAGTCAAGTGGCTGAAGCCCTTCTACGATAGCGCTCGTGTACAAACAAGAAAAGAAAAGAAGACTAAAAAAAACGTCTCGACATCCTCAAAGAGAAACTAAGGCTTTAAACCACACAGAGCACCTCCCTCTGTCTAGGCCCTCACCGGTGGGCGCTGGGCAGCACTGCACAGCTCGGCTCGGTTCGGCACAGCTTGGTTTAGCACTGACAGAAAGCTGCTATCAGCATTTCTTCAGACACAGCAGCAGCAGCAGCAGCAGCA